GAAAAATTAGTGTTTACTATTGTCATTTTGCATTATTGACACACTATTTTCCTAATTAATGCTGTTCAGTTGCTTTGACACAATCTGTATTGTTAAAAGCGCTATATAAATAAAGGTGACTTGACTTGACTTGACATAAAAAGTCGCAATTACCTTTACGAGCTTTCACAGTATGTCCTGTATGCATTCACATTTTGTCTTCGGAAGAGCAAAAACTCTTCCAGTTCAACAACCCATGACTTCAGAATGAATTTCTGAAAATATACTTTCAAATCATTTCTCAGTGGTAGAAATAGCTACTGTTGGTGGTTACATGTCAAAGCATACAATAATACAATTACTTTCTGATGATTTCTAATGCAAACTGTGCCATTTTTGTAATTGTGCTGTGCATTTCAGCAGTTATAAATCTGTATAGCTTTGAAAACTCTCTGGGTTTAATTTACTACTGGGAATGCTGATGAGAGACGTTTAAATTGCTATCTTCAATAGCATTAGTGGGGAATGGGAAATAGAGGGCTGTTCCTTAATTAACACAAGCCGAGCGTGCTGCTTGTTCAGCTGACAGCTCCAGTGGGATCGGAGCTCATGGTTTGTGTTGGCGACAGTATCCACTGTCATGCACCTGTCTGACTGATCTTGACCCCACAACATTTATATGCAACTCCATTTCCAGTTTAATGCAAGAGAATGAAACTTCCACCATGAATTTAACATTGCCCTCTAAACAAAAATAATGTACTAGTTCATGTTTCCCACTAGTTGTAACTTGCTGTGCTAGACTTACTGTGCTACTGTGTATATCTGGATTTTTGGAAAAAAAAAAAAAAAAAAAAACTTTAAAAGAAGTTTTACAATTTTAAAAGTTTTAGAAATATTTGAAGTCAATAATCAAATAAGTCATTAGATATGAATATACAGTGGGGTGCAAAAGTCCACATTGTACATCTGTACATTGTAAAAAATAAAGCTTTAATAGATGAGTTGAATTACTGAAATAAATGAACTTTTCCACGACATTCTAATTTATTGAGATGCACCTGTAGTTGTTAAGGCCACTTAATATAAAGTGGGTCCGATGTTTTAAAACACAATGTGGTGTTCAGATTGTAACATTTATTAATAAGTTTTTTAATTAATATTTTCTTTAAAATTGTTCTGCTGTTAATATCATAGTTACTGAAAAAATGTTTTAAAAAAACAGTATTTTCACTAGTGGACTTTTGGGCCCCACTGTATCAGGGTTATTAGAGTTATAACTAAAAATAAAAATAAAAATGATTGTGATTTCACTAGTAGCCAAATAATATAAATGCAGGAAGTTCCTACTAGTAAAATATATGTATCGTAATATATGTATAGTAAAATATGAACTTGTGGTCTTTCAATAATTCATTCACAGAAATCATTGAAAAGGAATTATGTAGAAAACAATACGAATGAAAGATCGTGATGAAATAAAAATACAAATATGATTAAATTAATATAAATAAAATGAGTTTCTTCTACTCTTTGTAAAATAGACAGCTCGAGTATATACTGCTACACTGTGTTGAGTACTATACACTCATCTGCATCGCATCATGTATAATATATGTTGCATCTGTAATGTCATGAAAGGTCTATCAATACTAACAGAGTCAGACATCCTCCTGCTAAGTATCCAGTCATGGCCGATTACTGCGCCAAGCAACATAATGAGAAAGCATCACTCAAGCAGATGGGATAATGTGCTATCAGAATAACATCTAAGTGCTGCTGCATTAGTGTGTCAGTGAGTTTCTAACGCCACTGACACGCTCCTCTTGCTTCAAACTAGTCCAACTGGGTCTAAACTGTCTGTCTATGCAGGAATTTGATCCTTGATGACAGCAGATGATCTTTAGATCACTGGTATAAAACTTAAAAATATCTTCACAATGGAAAATGTGCACTTCTGTGTGTGCAGAGAGCTCCCTTTTCATGGTTGGATTATCATTTAATAATTAAACAAGTTGTATGTCATCATGCCTTGGTTTCTCTTGATGCTATACTTGAACAAAACCCAGTTCATAGTGTGCAGAACTAGGAAGCTTCTCCTGTTTCTTTTTTAGAAAGAGGAAATTTCTCTTACTTTAAATGTGCTTTCTTTAGCAGCGTCTGCGTTTCAAAGTCAAACAGGCTTTAAAATAAGTACTGTAATAAGATTTGATGCATCTATAAGCTGACTATGAGGAGAAAAGACAAAACCATCAAAGTCTTGCAAGTAAAATGAATCATACTCTTCAGAGAAAGTAGCCTAGTATTTTAACTACTACAAGTGAAGCGTGGTTTAATGAAGCTGGCTGTTCATATCACCACTTTACTCACCCACTTGTTTATGAATGGAAAAACAGCATTGGGGAGGGTCAATATACATGATGAGAACGTGTGGAAGCTTGTGATGAACTTCAGTGAGTTCTTATCGTCACTGAACTTTAAAGTCTGAAGAGACTGAATTTATTCTGACACCAATGAGACAGAACTTCCCATTCAATTTGTTTGTGTGTTATTATTCTTTTAATTTTAACCTACATTATATTTCAGTCTTCATACTGTTACAGACGGAAGGATACGAGAAGGCAGGGTCGGATCCAAGTGCAGCTTTATTGTGACAGCGAAGTCGAACACAGGCAAAAGGTAAACACAGGAACAGACTAGACTTAACTAAGGCTCAGGAAACGCTCTGCACGGAGCAGTCGCAACCAGACAGACAATCATAAACTTCAATCAATACTTCGCAGTGAGTGTGTGTGTGTGAGCAACATTTATAGTGCTCCTGATGGACAACAGGTGTGTGTGTAATTAATCCCAGGTGCGGGGCTTGTGGGAAATGTAGTCCATAGTGGGAGCTGACTGATATCGTGACAGGAACAGTCTGAAGGCAGCTTCCTATCGGTTAAATTAAGTCTTTCTTTGTTCTGCGCTCTGAAAGTGATCTGTTAATTACCAGCGCTGAGAACACGGACACACCAGCCGCTCGCACCGATCTCAGCGGGGGATCCTCCACACTGGAGACCAACCTCTGGCGTTTTATGGTCAATTCAAGGGGAACAGCCGTGGACGGACACGGCTCTGGTTCCTTAGCTGCGACGGGATGAATCTCTGCAAGGGCCGCCATTACAGGAACGGGATCGGCCTCACCCACAGTGAATGAAGATCCAGACACCAGAAGCGCATAATCCATAAATTGGGCCAGTGATCCACGAGGACCATCCCGGACAAGGTGAGCTTTTAGTGGCTCGTTTAGTCCATGAGCAAAAAAGTCAATGAGCATGAAATCTGGCAGGTCTGCATAGTGTGCAATATCTATAAAGGTCTGGATATGGTCCTCGAGGGTTTGTGCTCCCTGTCGTAGACGAACCAGTTCTTTTGCCAACTCCATCCTCAATCGGAGCAGCAAGACACGGCTGCTGGATCCTCGGGGGGCGAAGTATTCTGTTACAGACGGAAGGATACGAGAAGGCAGGGTCGGATCCAAGTGCAGCTTTATTGTGACAGCGAAGTCGAACACAGGCAAAAGGTAAACACAGGAACAGACTAGACTTAACTAAGGCTCAGGAAACGCTCTGCACGGAGCAGTCGCAACCAGACAGACAATCATAAACTTCAATCAATACTTCGCAGTGAGTGTGTGTGTGTGAGCAACATTTATAGTGCTCCTGATGGACAACAGGTGTGTGTGTAATTAATCCCAGGTGCGGGGCTTGTGGGAAATGTAGTCCATAGTGAGAGCTGACTGATATCGTGACACATACAATATAATAATTAAATATGAATTAAGAAAATATTTAATTGAATATATATATATATATATAACAAGTTAAAATAAAACAATACATATAAAAAGACTAGTTAACAAGCAATTATACAATTTTAATTAAACCATACATTACATAAATTTTATTAAATAAATAAGTACATATTATTTGGCTCATGTATTTAATTAAATTTATTTATAATCATATATGATTAAAAGTGATTTAAATGAAATATTTTCTTTCTAAAACCGTATTAAATCATGTAACATATATTAAAATATTACAATATTAAGATATATTTCATAATTTAATATACTTATTGTGTATATGGAAAAATATACAAATTAAATAATAAATGTAAATAAAATGCTATATATATATAAATAAAAGATAAATTCTACAAATTTAACAAACAATTTCATTACTTTCTTTCTAAAATCTAAGCCAACGATTACTAACCATAACGCTAAATTTATTAAATAATTATGTTAGCCTTGCCAAATGAATAGCAAATACTGAGCTGCATGCCTACACGCACAGCATTTACAGACGCCATAACAAGCGGCTTACCAGGGCATCAAGTTGCCTACACAGTAAACAGCATTTTCTGAGCAACACAGTGAGCTGCCTACCTAGACAGCATTTGGGATCATCATAGGGAGCTGTCTACACAAGTAAGCTGCATTTTTGGCCATTATACAGAGCTGACCACTTAATAGCCAGCATTTTAGTCCATCATTTTGAGATAAGTTGCCTTCCTGCATATCAAAAAGAGCTACCTAAGAGTAAGCTAACTGTCTAACATAGTTTTTTGTGCATCACAGTGAGCTTACTACGTAGACTAGTACCATTTTTGGACATTAAAGAAAGCTGCCTACTTGGGGATCTTAGTGAGTGCACAAGAAGCATTTTTAAACCTTATAATGGGCTCACTACCTATGCAGCGTTTTTGGGAGCAGTGTGTGCTGCCTAACTAGGTAAAAGCGCACTGCCAAACTAGTAGACAGCATGGCATCATAGCCTACGGCGCTATGCCTACATCAGCATCATAGTAAGCTGCCTAACGTTACCTAAGCAGCATTTCTGGGCATCGCGTCCAAAACATCCACATTTGTGATCGTGAGCTGATTTTTTTAGCAGCTGGGGAGGTTTTGAGACACGGCTAATGATAAACTGCTCCTCGGTGACTGACTGACTGAGTGTCGTGTCTGCAGCAGGTACCTGCTCTTTCCGCTTCTGCCAGCGGCCGCAGGGACTCTCCTCCACGATCTCACTCTCATCCTCGCTCTCCTCTTCCTTCTCCTCGGATCCAGAGTTTCTCTCCGGGACTGACATGGTCATTATATGTCACAGAATGACCGTCGCACAAACGCCGCGCAGCCGTTGCGAAGGAATCACCTCAAAACAGAGTTGAAATGACGCGCTGCTTTGTGGACGTCCACGCGAGATGACTCAATGTTCAATACGCCACAGTACAGGGACATTATTTTCTGTCAGGAAGAACTGATGTCGGTAGTTCCCTAAACGCCTCGTTAATTTTTAATTTCAATGCGCTGCAAAAATAAATTATAAGCTGGTTTCCATATTCAAAATAAGAGTTGAATAAGAGTTATTTAAAAAAAATGTCCGCTCATTCAGCAGTTTACCGCTTTAAAACGACAAACACCGAGCGCAACTGTTGGCTCACAGATTACCGTAATGACTGGAGAAAACACGACTACAACATACATTACTAATGTACATTTAAAAATGAGTCAGAGATAATCACAAATCACTATATATATATATAGCCAGTTTCTGAAAAAGAGGTAACTTATACTCAGAATCAGTCACCGTGGTAATTTATGAACCTAACCAGGTCGGGATCAGGTTTTCTTCGGTAAACCTAGTTTCTTACGGTCTCCTCCCCCTTTTTAAAGCGTAAGAAATATTTAAATACTTCATTCATTCATTCACGCTGCAAAAATGCTTTTCTTACTGTGTATTTTTGTCTTATTTCAAGTACAAATATAAAAAAATTATTATGTTAAGATGCAATTTCTATAGATGACAAATTATATTTAAGTGCATTTTATGTAAAATATGTAAAATTGTCCGCCATATGGCAAGAAAAATCATCTTAATGCAAACGGAAACAAGCATATCTTCTTACCCCACTGGCAGATAATTAGCAAAATAAGATTTTTTTTGTGCCATATTCACATGCATATTTATTTGAGCGGTAGCATTTTTTCTTTAAAACATCAGAGATGCAGAGCACATTAGTAAGGCCGCTGTGTGCAGACTGATAAGGAGAGTGTACGCCTACGTCGCTTTCACGGTCTTTCTGAGAATTTTTTCCTGGGCACAAATCCAAGAGGAGTTTCACTGGACTGTAGGTCAGTGTTGTAGAAATCGGTTTAAATGAGGCGAATCTGATAAATGATGTTCACTTGATAACATCCTGCTGCGATCTCTGGAAGTAACCTAGTAGCTAATTAGAATTTTCTTCAGGGTTTCCAGTGTGGTTGGGTTTTTTGATTAGAGAATATTTAATAAGCCTATGTGAAAAGAGAGTTAAACTATGTCGAAAAACATGCTGCGCATTGAAATACACTGAATGATATTTAATATGTCAAAGGTTTGTAAAGTCATGTAGCCTACACCCATGAAACTTTTATGCTTAAAGGGGTCATATGATGTTGCTCAACTCGTTATGTCGAGATCACGAGAAAAATAAGTCGTGATCATGAGAAAACAAGAAGGAAAAAAATAATAATGCATGGCCGCTTAGAACTTCTGTAAATATTATTTAATTTTATGTTTTAAAGGGGTCATATGATGCTGCTAAAAAGAACATTATTTTGTATATTTGGTGTAATTAAATGTGTTTATGCGGTTTAAGGTTAAAAAAAAAAATTCTTTTCCACATAATGTACATTATTGTTCCTCCTCTATGCCCCGCCTTTCTGAAACGCGTCGATTTTTACAAAGCTCATCAGTCTGAAAAGCGAGGTGTGCTCTGATTGGCCAGCTATCCAGTGCGTTGTGATTCGCCGAATACCTCAAGCGTGTGACGAAAATGTTACGCCACTTACCTGTCCGGCCGGAGCGACAAGACAAAAACATTAAAATCCTTTTTAGTCTAACGTTACTCTTCCAGGATCAGTAAACAGTCCTCCATAAAATGTGCTGCACACATCTGACTATTTGGGTTGAAGTGTTCTGGAACAGTGTTGTAAATACAACTTAACCACTGATTTCTAGTCGTGTCCTCTTTTGGAAGGCCAAACAAAGTAGTTCCACTTTCACAACGAAACACAGCGTCACAAATGGCGGGCTTGAGTGAGCGGCGGCGGGCTAGAGTGAGCAGAGGCCGGCGGCTAAAGTGAGCGGCGGCGGGCTAGAGCGAGCGGGTGGCGGCTAGAGTGAGCGGCAGTGGGCTAGAGTGAGCGGGTGGCGGCTAGAGTGAGCGGCAGTGGGCTAGAGTGAGCTGGTGGCAGCTAGAGTGAGTGGCAGTGGGCTAGAGTGAGCGGCCGGCGGCTAGAGTGAGCGGCCGGCGGGCTAGAATGAGCGGCGGCGGGCTAGAGTGAGCGGCGGCC